GGGCACCTCCTGCCGCGCCGTCGCTCTTCTTCACACGCTTCGAGCGGGGGCCAGAGCTAGCGTCCTCAGCGCCAGTTCGCTTGGACGCCTCCCGCGCCGCCTGCTCCTCTGCCTCACGCCTCTGCGCCGCCTGCTCCGTTGCCTGGCGCTCCTCCTCGTGCTTCAGCGCCGCCTCATCCTCCGCCTCGCCCTGCTGGCGCGCGGTGTCAAAGATATCGATCGTCGCGGCGTCGCTCTCCTGGTTGCTCGCGGCCGCGCGGGTCTGCGCGGGGCCCTCAGCCTGTTCGAAGAACTTCTTCGTCAACGCCCAGACCTCCGTGAAATCCTCCTCCACGCCCTCGATGAAATACAAGAAGACGAGGTCTTTGCGCCAGCTGCAATATTTGACCTGAAAGAGAAGCGCATCACTACTACCCTCTTGGGCCCCCACGGGCGGGCCAAGGAGGAGAAGGGGGGGGGCGGCGGGGGGAGGAGGAGGAGGAGGAAGAGAAGGAGGAGGAGGAGGAGGAGGAGGAGGAGGAGAAGGAGAAGGAGGAGAGGGAGGACGGGGGAGAGCAGAAGGCACTGCCACATCACTCCCCCCGTTCGGGGGGGGAGGGTGGACGGTGGCAGGGATTCGCGCCCGCTGACGAATGGCGCGCCGATGGCCAAACACTTGAGGCAGTAGTTGGCGCAGCTCCTGGAGCCGCGCTTGCCGCCGCCCTCCTCCACGATGATCCTGTTGGCTGTCAGGTACCTGCCGTCCTTGTAGACGCGCTTGCGGAACTGCTTCGTGTGGACCCTCTCCTGCATCTTATGCTTGAAGGTGCTCTTGAGCCACTGCGCCCTGAACTTTGCCTGGGCGTCCTGGTTGCCGCTCAGCTTGTCGTACTCCTTCTTGTCGGCCTTGCTCTGAGCGCCCTTCCCCGTGATGTGCCGTTGCCAGCGGCCACCTGTGGTGTCATATTGGTTTTGCTGACTCGACCTCCTCATCCTCCTCATCATCCGCATCCTCCTCATCCCCCTCCTCCATCCTCCTCATCCTCCTCATCCCCCTCATCCTCCTCATCCTCCTCATCTTCCTCGTCCTCACCCCTCCCATCCCCGTCGTTCTCGCTCCGCCCCACCTGCGGCATTGCCCGCGGCGCCCCTCGCGTTGAACATCCAGTTCTTGGCTCGCATGCTCTCCCAAAACTCTGCGTCCTTCATGTCGGCGTCAATGGTGCAGTTGTCGGGGTCGACCTCTTGCCCGTCGAGCTCGGCCTCCGTGGACGTGTAGGAGCTCCACGAAGGCGACTTGTAGATCTCGCCCAGCACGTTGCACATCACATCATCGTCGACAGCTGCTGCTAGCTTCGCCGCCTGCGAGGCTATCTTATTGTCGAGATCGTCGCCGCCGCTGGTGTTGAAGAAGTCGGAGAAGTCCATGCCAAATTCGAAGGGCTGATGCTGCTGGGGCACAGCCTGCGGTGGCTGCTGCTGCTGCTGGGGCACAGCCTGCGGCTGCTGCTGCTGCTGCTGCTGCTGCTGCTGCTGCTGGGGCACAGCCTGCGGCTGCTGCTGCTGCTGCTGCTGCTGCTGGGGCGCAGCCTGCGCTGGCTGCTCCGCTGCCTGGGCGGCGGCCCTCTGGGCTGCATCCTTCGCCGCCGCCTCCTGCTCGGCTGCCCTCTGGGCTGCCTCCTTCGCCGCCGCCTCCTGCTCGGCTGCCCTCTGGGCTGCCTCCTTCGCCGCCGCCTCCTGCTTGCCTGCCTCCGCCTGGGCTGCCGTCGCCTGGGCTGCCTCCTGCTCGGCTGCCTCCTTCTGGGCTGCCTCCTTCACCGCCGCCTCGTTCTCGGCTGCCTCCGCCTGGGCTGCCTGCACCTGGGCCACCTGGGCTGCCTCCCTCTCGGCCGCCTCCTTTTTGAACTTCTCCTTCATCATGGCCACGTAGTCGCTGTCGGGAATATGGCGGGGCGGCTCGCCAGGCAAGCCCATCATGCGCCAGGCGACCGCCGTCTCGTCGGTCCTCTCCGACGCGGCGACCTCCGCGCCCGCCCTCGCGCCAGCCCTGGCGCCAGCCTCGGCGCCAGCCTCGGCGCCGGCCTCGGCGCCAGCCTCGGCGCCAGCCTTGGCGCCAGCCTCGGCGCCAGCCTCGGCGCGGCTCGCGCCTGCCGAACCCGCGGCGCCCGCGTCGCCGTCGGCCTCGGCGTTTGCCTCGGCCTTGGCGGCGGGCTCGTCCTCCTCCGCGGACTCAGTCGCCGACGACGGCGGCTCGGCGCGGCGGCGGCGGCGGGCGCGGCGAGCCTGGAGGACGCCGTCCGCGTCCTCTGGGTGGGCCCGCAGCACCTCGCAGGACGGCTCGCAGGCGCTGCTGCTCTCGTCGCCGCTGTCCTGGGAGGCGGGCGAAACATTGCGCTGCCCCCATGTCGACCCCCGATCTGCCAGGATCCTGACCCCAGGGGTGGGGGGGTGGGGGCGAAGATTTCCAGTTGCCTGGCGATCCGCATCCGACGAGGCCGCAACCGTCGCACAAGAGACGGGCGGGGCCGCGGCCGTACCAGCCATTCCCGAGCGACGGAATGCGCGGCCGAGCGGTGTGCACCACGCCCGTTTCGGGACGGGCACCCCTTGCAGCTTTGTCGGCATGGGCCAAAGTGCTTCGGCCAGCGTGGCACGGTTGCTGTTGCCGTGGCTCCAAACTTCGCGCTTCGCGCTGCGCGAAGCGCGAATAACTTCGCTCTCTCGCGCCGCCCCCCCCCCCCCCCATGGGGGAGAGAATGAGGGCCGCGAACCGCGAAGCGCGAATATCTTCGCGCCCTCGTGGGGGGCCCTTGCTGTTGCGGAGGACGGTACTCCAGACTTCGCAATAAAAGGAGGGGGGTTCTCATTTCGGGGGGGGTCTGATTTGAGCTGTCTCGGAGGGTTCGGGGGGGTCTGGGCAAAGGGCCGCCCTTTCATGGATGGTCTGGGAGGGTCTAAAACTTCTAGTGTGGAGTAGAGGAGTGGGCAATGGTTGAACGATGGTAGGGAGGAGTAGATAATGGTTAAAATAAGTGCAGGAAAGGGAGGAGGACGAGGGGTGGGCAATGGAAGAGGATAGGGAGGAGGAGGAGGAGGAGGAGGAGGAGGAGGACGAGGAGGACGAGGGGGAGGCAATGGAGGAGGAGGGTAGGGAGGATGAGGAGAAGGAGGAGGAGGAGGAAGAGAAGGAGGAGGAGGAGGAGGAGGAGGAGGAGGAGGAGGAGGAGGAGGGGGAGGAGGACTCTTTGGACACCGCCTCCAGCCCTCGTCGCTCCAGACGGCGCCGCGGCGCCCGCGGCCGTGGCGAGCCTGTCTGGGGTTCAGAAGCCCCCCTCCCCCCCCCTCCCTCCTCCCTTCCCCCCTCCTACCCTGCCTCCCTTCCCTCCCTTCCCTCCAATCCTCCCCCACCTTCCCTCCCCCCTGCCCTCTACCCTCCTCCTTCCCTCCCTCTCTACCCGTTCCTCCCGTCCATCCGTGCCCTCCCTCCCTCCCTCCATCCCTCCCATCTCCGTTTTACATCCCGCCTCGTTGTTTCCTCGCTCCCCCAGCCTCATTCGACCTCCGCCCCCCAGAGCCTGGATCACCCAAAGCTGCCATTGGTGAAGCCCAGCATGATGCTGATCGGGCTGCTCGTCACCTGGGCCTCGACGAGGAGGGGGAGGAGGAGGGGCGGAGGAGGAGGAGGAGGAGGAAGCGGATGGAGAGGGGGGGGAGGAGGAGGGAAAGGAGAAGGAAAGATGCTGAGTAGGACTGAGAGGGGAAGAAGGAAGAGGGAGAGAAGGAGGGAGGAGGAGGAGGAGGAGGATGAGGAGGAGGAGGGGGAGGAGGAGAAGGAGGAGGGGGATGGGAGAGGGAGGGGAGAGGGGAGGAGGGATAGAAGGAGGGAGGAGGAGAAGGAGGAGGAGGAGTAGGAGGAGGAGGAGGAATTGAATGAGATGGGAGGGGCCTCGTTCATCATGAAGCCACCAGGCGGGCCCTCGCCCATGAAGTCCTCATCCTGGCGGGGGCGCAAATCCAGCTTACCTGGCATACGGGCTCAACGGCTCAACGGCTCAATGGGTGCTCAACGATGTCGGCGTTGATCCATTGAGCCCCTGCTCTCCGCCACTCCGAGGCGAAGTGAGAGCTCGCTGGATCAACGCGCGCCCCGTTGAGCCCCCGTGCAGCCGTTGAGCCCTTGAGCGCCCACCCTCCGCACCCGGACTTCCCCTCCCCCTACGCATTCCTCCGATCTTCCCCTCCTCCTCCCCCCAGCACCTTTCTCCGTAAGACATTTTTCAACGCGTGTCCTGCGCCGCTGCTGGCGGCGCTGCTGCTGGGGCGCTGGCGGCGCCTTCTGGTACTCTTTCTGGCGACTTCACTGCTGCAGGGGCTGTCGCTGGTTTCTTGCTGCACGGGGCCTCCTCCTCCTCCTCGCCATCGCCATCTTCTGCAGTTGCTCCTGCTGGCTTCTTGCTGCATGGGGCCTCCTCCTCGTCATCATCATCATCATCTTCTGTAGTCGCTCCTGCTGGCTTCTTGCTGCACTGGGGCTCTTCCTCGCCCTCGTCATCATCATCTTCTGCTGTCGATACGTCTGGCTTCTTGCTGCATGGGGGCTCTCCCTCGTCCTCATCATCATCTGCAGTCGCTCCTGCTGGCTTCTTGCTGCATGGGGGCTCTCCCTCGCCATCGCCACCGTCATCTCGAGTGGCTGCTGCTGGCCTCTTCGCTTTCGGCCCGAAATCGTCGGCACCGTCGATTCCAGTCGCTGCTGCTGGCCTCTCCCTGTTCGCTTTCGCAGCGCCGTCCATGGCATCGCCCTCCTCTTCCTCTGCGTCCTCTTCCTCCTCTTCCTCTGCGTCATCTTCCTCCTCTTCCTCCTCTTCCTCTTCTTCCTCCTCTTCCTCCTCTTCTGCGGCATCGTCATCTGCCGCGTCTGCTGCGCCAGAGACGCTGGCAGCGGCAGGTTCCTCCGCCATTGACGCCTCCTCGGGACTGCCTTTGCCTTTGCCTTCGGCGCTGCCTTGACGAACGGCGCTTTGGCCCTCTCGGCCTGCTCTTTTGTCATATTGCCCTTTGCCATCTGCTTGATAATCGCCGTCATGCCCTTTATCGCCGCAGCCTTCTCGTCGCTGCTGTGCCTGGTGATGATCAGCTGGAACGGTGGCGCGTTCTTTCCTTTGAGCTTGAGGCTCGAGCCGTCGCGCCCGTCCTGGTACTCGAACAACTTCCACGAACTGCCCTCTTTGGTCTCGACCGTGTAGTGCACGGGCCTATGGCTAGCCTCGTTCGCGGCCCAAGTGGCGAGCATGCCGTGCGTCAGATTCGGCACCTCCCACTGCATGCCGTCGTTCCAGTACGCGATGACACTGTCATCTGCGTCCTTGCTCTCGTCCATCTTGAGCGGCTTGCTGGCCTCCCTAGCGCAAGGCTTCGTCGAGCCGATGGCGACGCGGTAGACGACCTGCTCATCCCTGTTCAGCTTGCACCTGTAGTCGCTGGCGTTCACCGCTGGACCTGCGCCTGATGCAGCGGCGGGCGCTGCTGCCGTCTGCTCGGGCCCATCGGAGTCCAGGAACGATACCTCAGTGAAGTTCACCAGCCAGCTTGGTTTCGGGCCGCCCTTAGCTTTCAGCAAGGCTTGATCTACATCTCGTCTCATCGCTCTGGCCCGTCGTGACATTTTCGAACTCCACCTGGTAGCTTCCGGCCCCAATGCCCACTGCGTCTCGTTATGGGCCGCCGCCGCCCTGAACGCCAACTCCAGCGGTTTCTCTTTCACCTGGGCTCGAGTACGGTGCAACGATAACAACAAAGCTGCCCCCCCCCCTCTCTCTCTCTCTCTCTCTCTCTCTCTCTCTCTCTCTCTCTCTCCCTCTCCCTCTTTCTTTATTTCTTTCTCTCTCTCTCTCTCTCTCTCTCTCTCTCTCTCTCTCGTGCCCCCTCTGCAATTCTTCACGCTTCGCGCATCCCCGCCAGCCCATCTCAAAACAACAACTCTTGCGAAGCATGCCGGCAGCCGCGTTTTTCAGGCGTGTTTCCGCCTGCCCCCGCAAATCTCCCCTGTTCCCCCTTCCCCCCGCCTACTTGCACGTCCTCCTTGTGGTGGGGGCGGGGGAAGGGCGAGGCGGAGGAGGAGGGAGAGAAATAAATGAAAAAAAAAAAAAAAAAAAAAAAAAAAAAAAAAAAAGAAAAAAAAAAAAAAAAAAAAAAAAACAAAAAAAAAAAAAAGAAAAAAAAAAAAAAAAAAAAAAAAAAAAAAAAAAAAAAAAGATTAAAAACGAAATGAAAAAAAAAAAAAAAAAAGAACACAAAAAGAAAAAAAAAAAAAAAAAAGAAAAAAACAAAAAAAAAAATAAATAAAAAAAAAAAAAAAAAAAAAGAACAAAAAAAAAAAAAAAAAGCGCTCCTCGTGGTTTGAGTCGTTCGGGCTTCTCGTCCTGGTGTGAGTCGTTCGGGCCCTTCTTCCTGGTGTGAGTCGTTCGGGCTCTTCGTGGTGTGAGTCGTTCGGGCTCTTCGTCCTGGTGTGAATCGTTCGGGCTTCTCGTGGTGTGAGTTGTTCGGGCCCCTCGTCCTGGTGTGAGTCGTTCGGGCCCCTCCTCCTGGTGGGACTCGTTCGGGCTCCTCGTGGTGTGAGTCGTTCGGGGCCCTCGTCGTGGTGTGAGTCGTTCGGGCTCCTCGTGGTGCGAGTCGTTCGGGCGCCTCGTCCTGGTGTGGCGGCCCCAGGGGCTTCTAGGAGCGTCTTGGGTGCCTTGGGGGAGCTTCTTCGGGCCTCTCTTGGAGGCCGTTTGGGGCGTCTTGGGGGCCTCTTGGCGGCCCCAGGGGCTTCCAGGAGCGTCTTGGGTGCCTCGGGGGAGCCTCTTGGGGCCTCTTGGGGGCATCTTGGGGGCCTCTTGGAGGTATCTTGGGGCCGTCTTTCGGGCGATCGATCACAGCTGGGGCGAACATGTTTGTCAGTCACCCCGTCGGGGCCAGAATCCTCGTGAGGGGTGTCGTTTTTTTAGCCCTTCCAAGAGTCGAGAAAAGGGCGCTCCAACCACCCGCGAAAAGGACCTCTCGAGGTCCAGGGGGAGGGGGTAGGGGGAGGGGTAAACCCCTCCCCGAATGGGAAGAAGGGGGGTTGAGAACAGAGTGAGCTCGCTAAACCTCTCACGCCCAAAGGGCT